TTTTGGTTAAAACAGTAAGTAACAGCAGAAACACTTCCAGGTAATGAAACACAGCAGTAAAAGATTCTGGTGTCAAGGCGGGAACAACGTTTCTTGTTTTTGAAAAAAAATTAATAAAAAAATAGAATCTCCATATTTTTGTTTTTCCAAATACAGAAAAAGGCTTTCACAAATGACAGAGTTCTTTGTCAGTGCTCTCTTACTGGTGATGTTTTGAGAGAGTCTTGTAAAAAATAAATTCCAAGAATTTAGAGGGGTTAGCTCTCCCCGTTTATCCCCCCACTCAACTCCTCCAGACTAGCAGCAGCAGCCATTAGCAAACACCTGGTGGAGCTGGAAATCTGCTGAGCTCATTTTAGCTCGTTAAGGTAGTACTCCATGAAACGCTGTCGGAAAGAGCAGAAGCTCTTAAAGGGACAGAGGCCCAATTTCAAGGCATTAAATTGCAAAATCAAGTTTCTTTTAAGTTAAGTTTGACATATACAATTTTTTTTGTAATATATGTTTATTAGGGTTTTTTTAAGTGTTGCAAAAACATAAGGGCACACATCTGAACACTTCACAGAACTAACAAAGCACATCTTCATGCTATAAACCTTCATTAAAAAAAATGTGTAAATGTAAAAAAATGCAACTTTAATGTATTTCAGATCCCATGTGTGATCAAACTCATCTCCTCTTCCTCTCAGTCTCACAAAGCAAGCGTTGGTTTCCGAATACGTAGAATTTGTTTTCGCTATCAGCATCCCAAAGAGAAGAGATTATTTATTATATCTAGATAGTCAGAGAAGGAGATTAGGATAACACACATTTGGAACACTTTTCTGAAGAACGTTGAAGATTAGACATCCAGTGTGACTGAATTTTATTTAGTCATTGTTAACGTGTTAATATTACATAATGCAGTTTATACCAGTTTTGACCTGAGAGCCTCTCTCCTGCGGAGGGTTACCTCAGTCACAGCAGTGTGATCTTGTACTGCGGTCAACAATGCAGAGTTGCAAACCTGAGCAGAAAATTTCATTTAGAAAAAAAGGTAATATATAGCCTACTTTTTGCAACTCTGAATTATCCTTCCACTGAAGCACAACTGGTTTATGGCAACATTTCTAAATTACCTTTGAAACAGAATAACTTCCTTTAAGCTGTCCTGAATGTAAAAATCTCAAAGATCTTTGGTTGAAGCAGTAAAAGATTTACTGTAAGATTCTCGGGACAGCATGCATTCTTACATTTCAAGCTTGCAAAGTTTATCTTGTCGATTAATCGCAGC